ATAACATTTTAGACATTCTAGACAGTTTATCAGTTAAAAAAGTTAATTTTGGGGTAAGTTACTCTTTAAGCTCAGTAGCAATAAGTGCTCAAAGTCCCTCCCACTGCACAGTCAAAGAAGTGTGTATGCACAGTTCTGTCTCTCTGGCCCAGAATGCACCAGTCCAATATTTTAGTGTTAACAAGAACTAAATTAGCAGAAACACAAGTTTAAAGTATTTTGTCTCTCTTCCTGCTTCTTCCCCCTATCAGCTCAGACACAAGAGTTTTAGCTCCACCTCTATACTGCTGAAATGGACAATCTTCTGAAAATTAACCTCTTAAAAAAACACAAAAATAAACTTTTATCTGTAATTCATAAATCATTGTGAGTTGTGTTTACTATACTCAGGTTTGATTTGACATTTGTGTTGAAGTTTTACTGTCTGTAGCTGACACCATGAGTGAGAGGTCTGTGTCACAGACATATACGTAGAGGGAAAATGACCAGGATAGATAAATATGTTCCAAGACAAGTCTTTGCTTCTATGTAAAGGTGTTGTATATTTTGATACATGGTGGGTGTTAATTTAATGAATATTAGTAGATTAGATTTTCTTAGTTACTTCAACTCATATAAATGTACTCTACAAAAAAGCACTAGTTAGTACAACGTAAAATACCTAGTTCAGTGTACTTGATTTTTAAGTGAAATCGGTTTACAAGCTTTTTTTAAGTAATGGTAATTAATTTGATTTTACAGTGTACAAATATCACAATACAAATGTGAGCATACTGCACGACATTTCAAACACTCAACATAGTAACTGATCCATCTTGCTCGAGTAAATAAAAATACTGGTATGAAAAATAGGGTGTGGAAGGTTAAAAGGTGAGAAAAACTTAAAGCAAGAAATGTGGGAGCAACTCTGACATGTCACAAATACAGTATTATACCTTTGCTTCTTTAAAAATAAAATCAATTGTGAGCTTTTGTTTCCTTTTTTCATTAAGGCTGTGAGTTTTTGTCTTGTGAGCATTTGTTAGTACACCGCTTTTTAAAGTTAGTGCAAAAGCTAATCTGCTATTAGCTGTTTAGTGGAACCATGCCCATCACTGTACAGAAAAATGAGACAAAATTCTTCCACAACCATGTGAGAGACTTTCATACAGAAAACCAACTACGTATTTTTGCTGCTAAAAGTGGTTTTACAGTCTGCTGATTTATGGGGCGGACTTAGTTTTTCATACTGTATACGGCTTTCCTGTTTGTGGCATGTTGTGGTGAGATTTGAACAAACTTCAATTCTAGCAAAATAAAAAAAAACATTTTATTTTGCCCTTACAATACATAAACCTAAACGAGAGTGGGCTTTCTTTTTCTCACTGTTCTATATTCATTGCAGCAAAGAGTTAGGTCAGTGGGTTAATACTGAATGTAGTAAACAAAATAAAAAGTCTATAAGGTCGTTCAAAGTTGGTGCTGAACTCTACTACACCCAAATGTACTTTGACAGTAAGCATTGATAGGGGTGCAGCAATGTTTACCTGTCACACAGAGGCAAACTCTTGTACAATGTTGTGCTGAAATGTAAAAAGCATCGTCCTTAAAGTTTAGTGGAGTGGCACAGTGGATGACTTTCCCCAAACTCTTCACCATTTCTGTTTAAGGGGCTTTGTCACAATTTGCATACAAACACAAACAAMTTTGCAAGTCCACATTTTGTACACTGGAGCATACAGTCAGCTTTATGTAAATCTACAAGAGATGAATGTAGACATGAACAAGCTACGAGGGGGAAAAACAGGCTTTTTCCTTCTTTTATATCTCATCATGTATAGTATGTATTCTGGGGGATACATCCTCCTCAATAAAAAAAAAACATTAAAAAGGCTGAGGTCTTTTGTTAAAAAAAACCTTAATAATTTTACCTATACACAACAATGCCTGAGGGTTAGTTGTTTTCTCTTCAAAACTGGTTTGCTAGTTGCTCCCAAATTGGCAGTTTTTGAAGTAATGCAACCCCACGACTCTTCAGCGCCTTATTATCCCCAACACAGACAAAAAGTTTTGTGATCTCAGCCAGACGYTGTTTAGCATCATCTCTTCTAACACTGTTAGCGTGCTGATGGTTTGACAACCACAGACTCTACAGATGAGCCGATTCGCTTTAGTCTCAAAATTGAGTAGGTGGTAAGGCACTGAAAATGTATTCAGTTTTATAAATGTAAAAGGTTTATTTTTTTATTTTTGTCTAGGCT